TGTTGTGTTGGCTGTTGCCATTATTTTAATATGATGATCTAAGTGAAAAGAGGTCATCAGTACCTCTAATTAATGGTCGGGTATTGCATATTTTAAAAATTCTTGGGGCACACCAGTTGAAAATCGCCATGCAACTGAAATGTGTAGCAACTCCCTGTGTACGTTTGGCAGAGCCCTGGGACTCACATGTACAGTGAGGAAGTGTGACAGAGGTAACATGTGAAGGGGCAACTACTGAGCCATGGTGGGCAGGATCTAATGACTGAAAGATGCTCACCCATGTCCCCTCCAAAGGCCCAGCAACATGGAGTCCCAGTATCCTGTCTTCAGTGTCCAAGTCAATCCTGCACCTCTGCACTGGCTTGCCCTTCTCTGCTTTCTCCCTGCTTTCTTATCCGTGGCTGCAAAGCCTAACATCTTTGCTATCTGGCCGTTTACAGAAAAAGTCTGCTGACCCACTTCTAGGTATTATAACATGCATCACTAACTTATTAGTGTCTCGTGTAAATTAACATTTTTTACCACATTCTGAACAAGACCTTACAACAGTTGAACTTTCTTTTCCTGCCTCATGACTGATCTCTTTTTAAATACCACAAAATATTTTAGTATTTTTTATATGGTCAGTATTCATTTAGGTTTACCAACATATTTACCACTTCATTTCCCTTCATTTGTTCCTCTGAGTCAACGTTCTATTTTGGATTATTTTTCTTCTACATAAAAAGTATTTAATTTTCATTAGTATAGAATTCCTGACCACAATTCTCTCAGTTTTTGTTTGAAATGTCTGTATTTACTTTCATTTTGAAAGATGTTTTTACTGGATATAGAAACCTCAGTTGGCAGGTATTTTGTACTGATACTTTAAACACATCCTTTCATTATTTTCTGGCTGGTATTGTTTCTTTTGAAAAGCTGGCTATATGTCTTATTGTTGTTCCTCTGAAGGTAATCTTTCATTTCTTTTTTTTCTGGCTGCTTTAAAGGTTTTTTTTTCTTTTTGGCTTGTCTAGACTTTCAGCAGTTTTACAATGACATGCTTAGATCTGAATTTTCTGTTTTTTCTTCTTGGTCTTTATATTGCTTCTTGAGTTTGAAAAAATCTTAGCTACTATATTTTCAAATACCGAGTCTTCATTTTCTTGCTATTTCTTCTCCTACAACTTTTAAACCATTGACTCATATGTCTCTTTTGCCCTGTTCTGTACCTTTCCAGCGCCTTCCTCCCCCTTGCTTCATTTGGGATATTTTCTTCTGACCTTTTATTTCACTAATTTTCTTTTCAGCTATGCCTAATTGGTTGTTAAACACATTTAATCACCATAATATGCAGAAGATTTGGGATGATTCTAAATGAGATTCAGTCCTAGGATGGCTAGTTCACATATATGTAGATGATGTAGCCCTTTAGGATTCTAACCAAAAGCTGGAGTGGGAGAAGCAGTAGTAGTTTCTAGAGCTTTTAGAGTACTAGAAAAAAATTCCACAGTAGTGTCACCCAGTAATGAAAGGGACTCCTTCCTAATAAGCCAAGTAGCCATCACAAGATATGCTCACAAGAAACTGAAGTTTAAATATTCAAACTTAAAAATCACTTGTGAAGAGATTGTGGAGATTACAGGTTTGGTATTCATTTGGATTAGATAACCTGAAAGGGTTTTTTTGTTTGTTTCTTAGTTTCTTGATTCCAGTTCTTGTTCCAGCTGTGATCATCTGTCTCTTTTTGTTAGTACTTTTCTCTCTGGTGTCTGACAGTGTGAACTGAATTACGGAGTCTAGGCCTCCTAACACATCTTGGTGAAGAATAGGTCAGTATTCATAAAGAATACTGACAGTTAAGAACAGTAGTATTGCAATAAGCTCACTTTGTAGGCTGACACAGTGAATATGTCTTTGCTTATCAAAAGTAATCACAGGTCCTTTTTAACAGAGCAATCACTCAGGTAGAGGCTTTAAGAAAATGGATAGAGGAAGATTGATTTGACTATATAATGACAGGAAAAAAGATTGATTTAGTTGAGTCAATGGGAGGAACAATATCAGTAATGGGGATATTTACTTCCATGTAGACAAAAGCAATATGTCTCAGTTTCTTTCTTATTTATTTATTTAACCTTTCAATCATTCAGTCAGCAAATATATTCCAAGAACATAGGCTAAGAAGGATCCACTCTGTTGAAAGTTCTCAACATTTCACAAGTGAATTTCATGAAAATTGTATACGGGGTTTACATCTTCAGGGAGAGAATAATGTCTGCTGCTATTTTGCATTTTGGGGAAAAGCAAACAATTTAAATACTCCTTCCTTTAAAATGGCACACTGTTGGAAAAACGGGAGGCCCCACGAGTGGACACATGTGTGGTCACGAGGACACAGATGAGCATGCTGGTGACTATAGTCACTCTGGAGAGTGCCAGCGGGTTACCTCTTGCTGTCAGTGAGGTCTGTTCTGCATTTTGTTTTTTTTATTCCTACCTATGATTGTTTAACTTACGCCAAGGAGACACAGCAAGTTAATCACAATGATAAAATTAAATAACTTTGCAAATTCACTTCAAAGTCATCTTTATCAGACCTGAAGGTGCATTTATTGATCAAAAGTTTTAGATATTCCACTCAAGTTTTCTGTAAACCTAAAATGCTTCCTATTAATTTAAACAATAAACAAAATGCAGTTTTATTCAAAGTATACAAAATCTTAAATTTCAAGTTGTTTCTATATTTCAAAAATCAATAGTAAAAGGCAAACTATAGTGAGAATTTCATATGTATGTCTATCTATGACCTCACTGTGTTATAACACAGAAGCATATAGACGTATACAGACAGAAGCATTTACACTGCAGTCTGTTTAAATGCAAATTGCAAGAAGTTTTTATCTGCATTCAGTACCATATTTCAGTATACAGTATGACCAAACCAAACACAACATAATGTCATTTTCATTTATTTGTTGAAAACTGTGTTCCATGAACTGACCAGTGTGGCTCAGTTGGTGGGAGCATTGTCCTGTAACCTGAAAGTTGCAGGTTCAGTTCCTGGTCACACACCTAGGCTTCAGGTTCAGTCCCTGGTTGAGGCACATACAGAAAGCAGGTAATCAGTGTTTCTCTCTCATATTGATGTTTCTCTCCCCCCGCCTCTCTTTTTTCTCCCTTCCTCCCTCTTGCTCTAAGAGAAAGCAATGAAAAAATATCCTTGGGGGAGGATTCAAAAAAGTGTTTCATTGTGTATTTACTTAAAGAAAACTTAAAAGGATTCATGTTTTATACTGGGAAAAGCTGAATATTACCAAAGATCTTATTAAATATTAACTTTGTAATATATTTCATAAAAGTTTTAACTTCTGATAATATCTATATCACTATATCATATTACGCAAAAATTACAGAGTGATATTCTAAATCATTAAGATTTCTGAAAAGCTACTTAGAAGTTTTTTTAAAAACTGGGAAATAATAAGCTACTGAGGTGCTGTGGTGGGCTTCCCGTTATTTTGCAGTGAGAAAACAGAAGTTCAGAGAAATCGAATCACTTGCCCAAGGACAGACAACAATAGATGGCAGATCCTAGGTTCAAATTCACGCTCCTAGTCACTCATGCTGGTATGAGCCTGCATTACACGGTGGGAGCCGGAGCTGGGCAAAGTGGGGCCTGAATGGCGCCTCAAAGGCAGAATCCACACTCAGCAGTGGAAAGAGCTCGGAGAGGCTGAAGTTTTAGTGAGGGTCAGAAGTGACACTGTCACTGTGGCTTCTGGCTGAAAGATTTAGGAAAGTAGTGTTGCTACCATAAAAATGAATACATGTAGAAACAAACAAAGATGGAAATTTCATTTGGGTACAAATGTGCTGACATTGGTATTGGCCTTGCTGAGTCGTAAGTAACACTAAGACTGATAGTTAGAGCTGCCGTATGCATATTGGACAGTATAGGACTTACGTACTGTTGAGAGTCGGCACTGAAATGTAGATTTAAAATCCAATAGCAAAAGTTAGTGGCTGGAACCAGAAGAACAGAAGAGAACTGAGAGAATAAGAAGAAAATTAGAATCTGAAGAGGGGGAAAAAGTCATCTAAGCCTGGGGTACAACCCCCCCTTGTGTGTTTGAGAAGCAAAAAATGTAAGTGAAGAAAAAACCAAAACAAAATAAAAACCAAAAAGTTAAAGGAGAACCAGGACAGCATAGAGTCATGAAAAGCAACAATAAACATGACTAAAATTTACTGAGCTCATGGGTCAAGTTTGTGCTCTGTGTTTTACATACGACATCTTATTAATCCTCAGGGAGGTATGTTTGTGTATCTCTGTTGACAGATGAGGACACAGGACACTGAGCTTTAGCAAAGTTAAGCCATTGGGTGTTTTGTAAATAGTGGAAGGAACATAGGCCTTAGGCCAGAGAGATTTAAATTCAAATATCCACTTTGACATTACTGACCACGTGACCTCAGACAAGTACTTACTTTGTCAGAGCCTCAGTTTACTCATCTGTAAAATGGAGATAATATTTACTTTGCAAATTGCTGTAAAGTTTAGTAATATAATAGGAAACAGCTTGGCATTGGGCCTGGCATACAGTACATGCTCTCGAAAGGGCAGCGAGTACTAATAATAGCAGCAGTACTTGTTAATTGTAGACAACATCTGTGGCCCCCGTGGCCATCGCCCTTCTAAAATCAGGTCACATACACTTTTGGCAAAGTTTGGCCTGTGTTGTTTTTAATTCAACTAGGACCCATATTTGAGCATGACAAAAAGCACAGTTCTGCAATAAGTAGGGTCACTGCATATGGCTGTGCCATTTACAGGGACTATAACGGCAGTGGCTCCTGCTGACTTTGTGTCGAGTGATTGCCCTGGAAATGTGTTGGCACAAAACAGAGGGCCCAAAATACGGCAGCCACAACAGAACCAAAGAGATGAATGCCTTTGCCTGCACATTGCATTGGTTTGTATGTTCAATGCCTGTCTACTTGTTTAATGCTCTCCACAGATCTGTACTCCCGACTTGGTGGTATTCCTGGCTTGTGCCAATCAGAGGCTCAAAGAGAGATTACTGAGGCGTGCAGAGCAACAGGGGCGGCCTGATGACAATCTGAAAGCTACCCAAAGGAGACTGATGAACTTCAAGCAGAATGCTGCTCCGTTGGTCAAATACTTCCAGGAAAAGGGGCTCATCATGACAGTAAGTCAGCTATAGTTTTGCATGCCTAGTACAAGAATGATCTTTCAGATTTCTCTAGACCTTGTGATTTAGAAATCTTTACATTAAAAAAGTGGCTTTTCTTGGGTTCAGATTCAATGAAAAAAAAATTGATAATTTTGACCTGACTTGCCTTTATTAAGCCATAATGATAAAAACACTTTCACATTATTTTGATTGATTTTACAAAAAAAATGGTAACTTTTAACCTTAGCTAGAATTCCATAGCCCCCAAATAAAAAAAGGATTTTTTGAAATAATTATTTGAACTATTTTAAGCAATACCCAGATTCTCAACTCTTCTGTCTTTGGAACCTAATAAAATTGATGGATTTAAAAATACATAGTATTATATCAGACTTATATTGTAAGCTAGGCTTTATCATAATGTACCATAGAAAGAATGAGATTCTGTAGGCATAATGTCTCTAAGGGTTTGACTTGTCCATGAAAAAGTGATACTATCTCAAAATGAAAGGTATTGATCTTTCTGCTCCATTGATGCAAATATTAATATTTTCATAAATGTTTAGCTCGTTTTATGGCTAATAACCCTCCAAGTGTCAATGAAGGCTGACACTGAATTACTGAATATAATTACTATCATGTAGAACGTTAAAGATGAAGATTCAGGTAAATTTATTATATCTATAACATAAATTCAAATTTGAAAACACAGTAGAGATAAGAGGATTATAGGTCATCTGAAGAAGGCATTTTTTTATAAAGATTTTATTTATTTATCTTTAGAGAGGAAGGGAAGGAGAGAAGGAGAGAAACATCAATGTATGGTTGCCTTTAGTGTGTCCCCTGCCAGGAACTGGCCTGCAACCCAGGCATGTGCCCTTGACTGGGAATTGAACTGCGATCGTGTGGTTCGCAGGCCCGCACTCAATCCACTGAACTATGCCAGCCAGGGCTGAAGAAGGCATTTTACAGAGGAAGACACTAAACTTGGGGTAACTCCACGGCGGCTGGCTGGTGGCAAACCTCAGAACCCTCGCCTCAGCCCTTGGTCCTTCCTCGTCTAATGGGGTTGCAGGCCCATAGAGACTCTGACTGCAGTGCCATGCCCATCCCGATAAAATGTAGGTCAAGTGTTTTTCACGAACTTCAGGTGAATCTACTGAAGCCTCCCCACAGAGCTCCTATGACCCAACAATTACTGGGTCAAAAATATCTTTGTTAGATTAAAGTACCCTTAAATCTGTGACAGTCACAACATTTGGACAGTGGTCTCTTTGCAGTCTTTTTACACTATAAAAAAATATTTATTAAGATTTGCTCCTTAAGTCAAAAGTTGTCATGTCAGAGAATTGTAAATCTGATCTGAAAATAATTCATAATACCAGAGTTTATTTTATGTTCTAAAAGAGACACTGAGTAGTAATAGGAAAGATTTCAGAAAATCAGGGTGGGTATTTCTGTAGCTATTTTTTGCTGGGGTTACTGCTTGTTTCTCTTGCGAATTACCAATGCTGACTTCTGCATGAAAAAAAAAATTGACCCCACAGTCCAAACCTCAAAGGCAAGGTGCAGAGCCAGAGTTTTAATTGATGCTTGCAAGGTTTAAAGGTATTACCGGAGCGCCTCTGATAACTCCCTGCTTGTCGTATTTGTCATCACAAGCACAGAAGATTTCCCCAATGAATGCAGAGTGGGGATTGTTAATTTACTAATATTTTGCATGGAGGTGAAATGCCATTGCCTCTAACTGAGGGAGTCAGTAACAATGCGGATGCCAGCCGGTACCCTCATTGCTAACACCAAATGGGCTTTAAGACAAACACTTCTATTTACTGGCAGAATGCTTGCCCTGGAAAATCACATGAAAACTGGTGAGTACAGACCCAGGCTAAGCTCTGGAGAACAGAATTTGAAATTCAGTCTGACAAAAGAGCAAGGAAGGGCTGCCTCCCGAACAACACATCCTCCTTCAGAATGTGGATCGTACTTCACTTTTGGAATTAAATATGTGTGGTAGCATTTCTGCTTTTAAAGATGAGCAAAATAACAAAATAATTATCTTTATTAATCACAAGCATATTAAGATTTTAAGAGAATCTTGGGTAAATAGATCAAACACAAGATACTCCCTTTCTGTTCTAGTTTTTTGTTCATTTGCTTCTACCTGCTTCTCCTAACTTATTTATTCATTCATTAAATATTTATTGAGACTTTCTGCTAGGTGCTAGGTTTGCGGAGTTAAATAAGCAAAAAGTAGGAATCTTTATTTTATCACTTGCGTATTTCAAGCACCTAGAACAGTACCTGTCTGGCACATAGTACGTTCACACTAAATGAACAGAATTTACAGTCTACAGGGGTCCTCAACCTCTGGGCCATGGACCCGTACTGGTCCCGGCCTATTCGGAACCAGGCCACACAGCAGGAGGTGAGCTTGAATGTAATGCACTTGAATCATCCCGAAATAATCCCCTCCTCTCTGGCCTGTAGAAAAATTGTTTTCCACGAAAACTGTCCCTGGTGCCGAAAAGGTTGGGGACCACTGGTACTGGAAAAGTGATATTAAACATGATGACTCTTGCAAAGGAATTCCCCATAATGAATAGAACAGGCCTTCTCCCCGCCTGCAGGTGGGCATAAGTATTTATTTTGGCTCCAGATCTTCAGGACCACAGAAGGCACATCTCTCTTCAGTTCAGGTGAGAAACTTCATCATGATGCTCCTCTTCTCTAGGGCTTTGGAATCTGAAATCTGTCACTTGGAATTTCAGCTCCACTGCCATTTAATAAATTAATGAGGCTCTAGGACTTGGTCTTCATCTCCGAATTGGAGATGATGTCACCTACCATGTAATGTTGTAGGGGTGAAATGAGAAAATGCCTGCGACATAGCAGGCCAGGGCACTGCAGGGGCCCTGTTTCAAATGCAACGGGCCAGCCACATTGCCTGGCTCAGAATCCAGCAGCTCCACCTGTCACCCGGGTGACCTTCTACAGGCCACTTATCTTTTCTGTGACTTAGATGGCTGACCTGTAAAGTGAATAGAATAGTCAATCCCACCTCAGTGTAATTTGTGAGGAGTAAATGGATGACACAGACTTAGAACGGTGCCTGGAACATTGTGAGGGCAATTTAAATGACAGTTGTTATTTTATAATTTTTTAAATTTCCTCCTCTCTCTTTCTCCCCACCTAATGCCTGTCCTTTGGAACCTATACTTACGCTAACAATTCTGTGCTGTTTGAAGGCACCATGTTGCCTCTTCTTCAATGGATAGATTATTGAAGGAATCCAAAATGAAGAATTTAGGTTTTTTTAAAACTTCATGCCAGCCCTGGCCTGTGTAACTCTCTCTTGGTTGTCTCCTAGACGGAAATGTCACGAATTTGACTCCTGGTAAGGGCACGGGCCTGGGCTGCAGTGTTGGTCTCCAGTGGGGCACATACAAAAAGCAACCAATCGATGTTTTTCTCCCACACAGATGTTCCTCTGTCCACCCCTCTACCCCTTCCTTCCCTCTAAAATCAGTAAGCATATCCTTGGGTGGGGATTTAAAAAAAAAACTTTGTGTAAAATTCATTTTTTTCTCTGAAAGTGTTTGTTAATTAGTTATAACATTGTGTCAGGGTTTACTTTAACTTCTGTGGCATCCATGTAATCGAGCTGTATGACGGCTGTCTGAATAATGTGGTTGAGCCATCACGGATATCAGCCCGCTCTTTTTTCTTTTTCACCTCATCATTTGCGGTATCTGCTGGCAGTCTGACGAAAGAATAAATCCAGTGTGACTTACCAGGAAACCTAATCAAAATAGCCAGGGGAAGCGTGCCGTCACCTGAATACTGCACCTTATTGACATGGCTCCTGTCATGTGTGTCTCTTTATTTCCATTCTTTTATTGTAATTTTCTATTCACAGCCATCTGTGCAGGTGTGAATTAAATGTAGGAAATGACTGGCTAGTATGTTATAGGGACTTTGCAGATTCTTTTCAGACAAGCTTATACATTGTTTTTCAAATTGTCATAAGGGTGGATGCAATTGCTCCTCATGTCTTTTACAGCATTATCTTGCTAGTCAAGTATTCGGATGCTATGAGTTCCCAAAATTTGTTAGAAGTTTTTCTTTGAAGTTTGAGTATGACCAGGACCAGAAAAGCTGCTTATTTAGTCTCGCTGAATAGTGTGTTATGACATTTTGGAGCACTTGGACTTGATGAAACTGTGTTAACTCATGAACAGTAACTCCCTTTCATAAATCTATCAAAGCCTCAATAATATTATTTTAATGACTTCTTTATCTTTATTTTTGAAGCTGTAAAAATAACTTGTCTTCATTTTAATCATCTTCACCAAGTTGGAACCCCTTTTTTAAAAAATAGCAATAGCTATTAGGCTGGTGTAGCTCAGTGGATTGAGCATGAGCTGCAACCAAAGGGTTGCTAGTTTGATTCCCAGTCAGGGCACATGCCTGGGTTGCAGGCCAGGTCCCCAGTGGGAGCCATATGAGAGGCAACAACACATTGATGTTTCTCTCCTTCTCTTTTTCCCTCCCTTCCCCTTTCTCTAAAAATAAGTAAAATATCAAAAAATAGCAATAGCTAAGATAGGCCAAGTCTTTGTAAGTTTCATGAATTTTTTAAAAAATGCCTTGTGGTTTTATTTTCTAAGAGTATTTTTAAATGCCTGAAAAATAATAGGGTAAGGTGTAATGTTTGTGTTGTCATTTTCCGAAGTGCCTTGTGCAATTTGGGTATTTTATTCAGTTGGCAAAACATGTAACTTGTGAGGGAAACGGTTGCTCAGTTGTGTACACTGAACAAATACCACTTATTATGCATGATAATCAGTGAAAGCCACAGTGACCTTTAGGCTGTGAGAAAAGCAAATGGTCATTTCTTCTGGACTTTTTACAAGAGAAACATACCTTGAAATGAGAAGTAAGCTGCAGTCATAGGATGTATGAAGAAGCCTATGAATTAACACCCAGATTAGCTGACTGGATCTCTTCAGCCA